AAGCCAAGATAACCAAACTGAGGCTGTCGTACTTTGGACACATCATGATAAGAAAGGACTCTTTGGAAAAAACAATAATGCTTGGAAAGGTGGAGGGAAGTAAGAAGCGAGGAAGGCCACATGCCAGATGGATGGACTCTATGAAGGAGGTCACGAATTTTATGGGGTTGCAGGATTTAAGCAGAGCAGAGAGGACAGAGGGTCTTGGAGGTGTCTCATCCATAGGGTCGCCATGAGTTGAGATTGACTTGAGAGCAGTTAACAACAAGACAACAGTTAACAACAGGAGCATATTATCATTTTATCACTGAATTAATGCTTTCCATCCTCAAGTGTCTCAAGTATTTCAATAAATTCATATGTGTTAAAACTGGCAGTTTGTATAGACTTTTTACCACCTGTTTTACTGAACGGCCTATCTTTTGCTATTTATTTTTATGGGGGAGATTTTCACACACACAAAAAAAATTAATAACATTGTAAACCACCTGAGATGCATTTCAGTGTAAAAATATCTTTAAATTAAAAACAATACTAAATTGAAAACAACAACAAAGGAGATTTTGTGAGTGTATCTATATACTTCCTCAAATATCTTTATCATTTCATTAACATTTTACAGGGTATATGGCTTACAATAAATTGCTGCTATCGATTGTATACCTTTACAGGGCAATCCTAACTCAGTAGTAGAATTATATTTATTATATAGGTATTCTTCCCAAAAGTGAACCTCTTCTTAGCCAAAGTCCAGTTAATTTGGTGACAGTTCCCTAGGTCATTCCTCATAGACCTAGGTTTCCAGATCAGTTTTAAGTGCCCACTGGACATGTGTTGTTGTTGTTGCAGTTGTGTGCCTTCAAATCATTTCCAGTTTGTGGTGACCCTAAGAAGAACCTATCATGGGGTTTTCTTGGCAAGATTTATTCCATGTACCAGCTTGTTGACACATAGAATTGCATTGGCATTTTGAGATGCCACATCACACTGTTACCTCATATTAAGCTTGTGGTCTACTAAGACCCCTAGATCTGTTTCAAGCTAGGTTTCACCCATCCTGTACAGTCGTCCCTCCACATTTGTGACTTTGACTTTTGCAGATTTGATTATTTATGGGTTTGATTGATATGTTATCTCTAGGAATCTCTAGGTCCTTCAGCATGACTCTGCCAGAAGCTGATCTGGAGTACCTAGAGATTTCTAGAGAGAATACTTCTCTAGGCATTTGTAGGTCCTCTAGTGCAATTTTGTGGTCAACGTCTACGGTCAATGTTGGCCGTAGAGTTGCAATGGAAGACCCAGAAATTCCTAGAGAGGTCTCAGGTAAAAAAGGGATAGTTTTTTATTTGGGGATTTTTCACTTTCACAGGAGTCCTGTGTCCTTAACCCCAATGAATGTGGAGGGCCCACCTTATTTGTGTATTTCATTTTTCTCTCTTCCTAAACGTAGGCAAATATATATCCCTGCTGACATTCATTTTGTCAGTTTTGACCCAGCTCTCCTGTCTGTGAAGGTATTTTGAATTCTGATCCTGTCCTCTTGGATATTAACTTTCTGTTGTTTCCAAATTATGGCAATGTGCCATTTGGTTTTCTTGGCAAGATTTGTTTAGAGGGCATTTGCCTTCACTTTCCTTTGAAGCTGAGAAAATGTGACTTGGCCAAGGTCACTCAGCAGGGTTCCATCACCAAGCTGAGATTCAAACTCAGGTCTCCAGAGTAATAATCCAGCAGTCAAACCACTATACCATGCTGACTCTCCCTACTTACCTCTCTTAATTTGGCCTCATCTGCAGATTTGATAAGCATGCTCTCATTTGTGGGCATATTGACACTGCCTGGCACATTGCCATAGGTACCGGAATAAGCATAATCAGTTTGTCATTTACATGCTCCCCACCAGTAATGCACAGGAAATGTTCACCTGTGTTAACGTCTCAGTGTTTGGCATGATTTACAGGTTTTTAAAGCATCCATTCTCCTTCTCTGTTTGAAGCTGCCCTGTCACTTTGTGCTTGTACCTGGATATGTTCAATGTGTGGGAGGGGAGGAGGGAGGTATGCATTGCACAGGGCAGATACATCAAGATGTTGATGGCTATGCCTCTCCAACCTTGATGATCAAAGCTACCATTGAGACTGTGTTTGCTTGACCTGATATGCTGAGGATCTTCCTGAACCCACCAGCTTCTACAATCAAGCTCACCATAAAACCTGAATCCTTTGGAATGCTGAAAATGTAATTGTATTGCTTGCATCGCATGGTGGGGGCATAATCCGCACGCCAGAAAAGGCATCAAAATGTGTGCTGGTGTGTGCAATGCTACACAACATGGCCCTGAAGTGCAAGAATTCCTTGTGGGGAGATTGTCATACTTGATGGGCCCCCACCCACCATGCCATAAGAGAGGAAAGGAAGGCAGTATAGCCAGGATCCTGGGATTATTCATACTGTGTAAATAATCCATAATGAAATCTGGATTAAATCTCCATCATTCACACACATCCTAAATGCCCCCAATAAGTTGGGGGGGGCTTCCAAAAAACCCCACTTACTCCAGGAAAATTGATATTGGATTTCCCCCCAAGTTTTTAAAAAAATATCTGCATCATCAGTAGTGTGAATAACCAATGTGAATAGACCCGAATAGACCAGGGATAAAATGCTGCACACCCAAAAAGGGGTTCCGAATACATTCACATCATTGACTCCATCTTTATTCAAATGCTTGCATATGTGAGCAATCAAACTTGCAGGGATGCACATCAATGTGGTTCCACAGTAAGAATAACAAGCCTGGCATGTGTGATTGAGATGATTCACATCATCATGCTAAAAAAAAATGACATCTGAATGCCCCCCCAGGCTCATGCAGAGAGATCTTGTAGCATTTGAGACTAACACAGCTATATCATTGAATTCTCCCTGGCTCATGTTTACTTTGGGCCATGAGTGGCTACAGCTATAGCCTGTTCCATACTTCTGGCTGCTGACCCTTCCTACTTTGGATAGTGCTTAGGAAAGATGCTCTTTGGACTCTTGTCTCTCAGAATCTCCTGGAGAGTAGCCCTGTTGGGCACTGTAGAACAAACAGTATACTTCCTAAGCTCTGGCTGTGAGACACACATTTGCAAGACCTTCCTATGAAGTTCTAGAAAATGCCCTCACTTTCTTTTTATTTCTCTTCCTCCTTCCATCCCCAACAGATTACTCCACAGTATGTTTAGGGATATGCTGAAGTCCCTCTTTCCACCTTCTCTCCTGCAATTTGAAGCTTCACCTTCTTCCTCTGACTCTATTCCATTCTTCCTGCTAAAGGCTGAAGTATACCACCCCAAAGGTGGTAAACCAGGAATCCCCTATGTATCGGCTGAAACAACTAAATAGGACTCGGTTGTTCTGCATAGCCTTTTATTAAGCAAGAAAGCATTGGAAGTTCAGGTGGTTAGGAAACAAAGCAAGCCTGGTTGTCACTATCTCCCAGCAGTAGTGCTCCTGTACCTTGGACAATACAGATACAGCAATGCATGTGCAGAGTGCTTTTGAGCAGCCCAGCCACATGACCAAGGGCTACGTGAGCAAGGCCATGACCCATAGCTGTTTGTCCAAGGTATTGCAAAAATACAGAAGTATGATGACAGCATAGTAAGCGGACAGCAATCTCCTAGTCTGTGATTGTGTCAAAACAAAGCTGATAGGGCTGGAGGCTGCACAGGCAGATTAGCTGCCTATGAAGAAAAGAGGCATCATTAATGGTAAAACATTAGCAAGCAGCCTTATCACAGTATGTGAGGGAGGGGAGCAAAGGCTTCCTTAATATGTACTCTAAAATGCTACAGGGGAGCTGCTAGGGGGTTCAAGAAGGATGTAAACTGCCCTGCCCTTCAATTTCCACAGTTGTCATAGGGTCCTCTCTGCAGGTACAGAGATAATCAGTTATTTGGAGGAGGAGGTTGGTGCAAAGTTCCCTCCTGGAATGCCTTCTGGTGCCATGTTGTGCAAACAGCCATTTCCCATTGCATGCCCTGTGGAAATCTGAAGTGTCACCAGCAGTGGCCATAGAGATATAGGGCCTTTGCAGACCTCCAGAAATAGTGCAAATTGAGTCAACTTTAAGGGTTAGGGTTAGTGCTAGGGAATCATGGGAATTGCTTTTTTTTCCTGAGACATTGAGCCTTCTCTGTCAGAGAGCTCTGATGCCACAATAAAATACAGTTCCCATGATTCCCTAACCCTAACCCTTAAAGTAGACAATTTGCACTATTTCTGGCAGTCTGCAAAGGCCCATAGCCTCATGCCACATTATCATCAGAGGCTGCATGCATACTGCGGAAATAATAGTCCAGGTTTAACTGCCCTGGCCCAATGCTATGGAATTCTGGGAATTGTAGTTTGGCAAGACATTTAGCCTTCTCTGTCAGAGGGCTCTGGTGCCACAACAACCTACAGTTCCCAGGATTATATACATTGCACCATGGCAGTTAAAGCAGTGTCAGCCTAGATTATTTCTGCAGTGCAAATGCAGCCTGAATTTATCTGGATGGGTTTTATATCTGCTGGAGGTGTACTGTGACTGTCTGATGTTTGTGCTGTATCCTTATCTTAGTCCTTCCAGTATAAGTGTGGGTCCAGCAAATTGATTGGGACCTGGGAATTTTATTCAGGGGGGGCTACCATAGCTTTCCATGTGTTTTTTGAAAATTTAACCAGAAAATTTCCCTCTTTGTGAAGTTGCCTTGTGCAGTGAGCATAGCTTGGGACATCCTCCAGCCCTGACAATGAGCCACTAAGACTATAGCATACATTCCAACTGTCCTGATTTGACAGAGACAATCTGGATTAATCCTCCATTGTCCCACTTTTTAAGATTTTTTTTTTAAATCTCCCACTTTCACTCTTTTCCACCCACTTTCCCCCTTAATTTGCAGCATCTACAGTAAGATAAAGACAACATTCAAAGTGCAACAGTTGCTAGCATTCAACTCAATAGGAGGAGAGGAGAGGAAGGGTAGAATCTTGCTCTTCCCAGTAGGCTCAGACAAAAGAAATTTCTGCAGCCTCTCTTAACTTCTCTTTTCTTTCTCATTAATAAATTTTGCCCTTTTGACCGCACTCTGATGTTGCTTGGCCATAGCTGCCCCAGTTTTCATTTATGAGATGTTGGAGAGTGTGCTATAAAATACATTTTTTCTTCTCTCATCCTTAGAGGAAGGCAATGGCATCCCTCCCCCATGAATCTTGCCAAGAAAATCCTGGGATAAGAGTCATGTCTGCAAGGAGGAAAAGAAACGTTTCTGACCTGTTCCCCCCCAAAAAACTGTTGAGATGATGGGCTGAGCCAAAGTGGGTGAAACACAGGTCCAGTCCACACTCCAGGGTGATTCTAAGGAGTAAAAAGACTCCCCATTTGTCCCAAATTAGGGCAGAAATTCCATGTAATCCCCCAAGTGTGCTGACTGCACATTGCTGTGGGGATAAGGGAGGAGCATTGGCAGACAGGTGGGCAAACTGCTGACCTCTTCCCACCGGGATCTTCCAACTCATAGCATCATAGAATCAAAGAGTTGGAAGAGACCACAAGGGCAATCCAGTCCAACCCCTTGCCATGCAGGAACTCAAAATCAAAACATACCCAACAAATGGCCCACCTAGCCTCTGTTTAAAAACCTCCAAAGAAGGAGACTCCACCACTCTTCAAGGGAGTGTGTTCCACTGTTGAATAGCTCTCACTGTCAGGAAGTTCCTCCTAATGTTGAGGTGGAATCTCTTTTCCTGTAGCTTGCATCTGTTGTTCTGGGTCCTATTCTCTGGAGCAGCAGAAAACAAGCTAGCGCCCTCCTCAATATGACATCCTTTCAAATATTTAAACAGGGCTACCATATCACCTCTCTTATCGCAACACTTTCATTTTTAAGTTTGCACATTTCCTCCAGTGCCATTCCTCTTGTAGATGTGCAACTTGATCACACAAGCAGACATTAGCACAATACTATTGGTCAAATGCACTGATGCTCAGAAGAATGTCTGTTGCCCCCACAAGCCATGAGAAAAGAGAGAGGGCGTCTCTGGGGAATTTGTGGACAATGCTATCAGTATTGACCCATTGTGGGTGCAGGTTATGTGGATAGCTCATCTTCCCTGCAGATGTAGAAGCCCTGATGGTAAGCCAGGTTTTCTCATCCGTGTGGACACAGCATAGGTTGTGTCTCCATAAATCAAACATGATTTGAAGGCACACAACACACACACTAAAGTATTTTGAGGGTCCGGTGAAACCCCATAACTTTCCTATAGCTCTCCCTGAGCAGAAGAATTCTTAACTTTCCTGTTTAGGTTGCAACTTTATTTGGGCAAGAGTAGTCTTTCTGACATTGGCCTCATTTTTGACTCCTGACTCAGCTTTGACAGGTGGCTCAGCCCTGACAAGACGTTCATGTTTCCCATTTTTGGAAAAGTTTATTTTCATTATTTTGTCAGATGGCACCAGACATTTGATCTGCTGACGGTGTACTTAAGAGTAGCTAGATGTGGGCTTCTTTACTACTAGTAGTAGTAATGTAAAACAAACAAACACTTCCAATACTAGTAGTGCAGCTGGGTATATTTTTCTTAGTAGCATTCCCTGGGATTTCTCCTTTCCTAACTTGACACTCACCAAACTACAACCCCAGCCATCCCTAGCCATTCTGGTATTACCAATAGTAATAAAACAGAATAATAATAATAATAATAATAATAATAATAATAATAATAATAA